TCATTTGCATATCATCAAGCCAGAGTGCAGGCGCTGTGTCTGGGCTCCATTTGGGGAGAAAAGCGAGGCGCGAGATGGGTGGCCGGTGCCGGGCAAGCCGCGGCGCATTCCTTTCATAGCTTCCCGGTGACTTCAGTGTGCTTTGGCTCGGGAGCCGGGTAGGCCGCGTCTGTTTTTAAATCTTGTAACTTGGTGCCAGGGGGCAGGACCAGTTCCGGCGTCTTTAGTTTTCCAAATGAAAACGGTGCTCGGATGCTCGTCCGCCGCAGGAAGCGTAGCTGGTGCGCAGGAGAAGAGGCGGCGGAAATCACAGCGAGATAGTAAATTGCGTGTGGGTCGCGGAGCTCCATGCGGCTGACTGTTTTCCAGGTACTTGGTGTCCGCGTCGTCCGGCACAAACCAGCCCACTGAACTTGCTGCCACCTGCTGCGCGCCACGGGAGGGGAGGGTCTGGTACTTCACGAAGGACAGAACGTCTGGAGAAACCCGTGGAAGCAAAGAAACAAAACGTGGCTTTCCGCGTGGCATTGGGTCTGGGGGGTGATGTAGGGAGGATGTCGTCGGGCTGCTTTTAGTTCAGAAAGTCGTCGGTGCCACCGGGGCCCCCGTGCGTTCTCGAGTTGCCCTTGGGCCGGCTTGCCCAGGCGTGTGCTGCCCGCCGCCGTCCCCGAGCGCCGTCCCCGAGAGCCCAGCAGGGAATCAGGCGTGTGGCCCGCGGCCCCGGGCTGGCAGGCGGAGCGCTCCGGACCCTGCTCTCCTGTGTCCCTGGGCTCCGTCGGAACCGAAGCTGGAACAGACGCTCTGAAGGGAGGGCGGGGGGCGGAACTCTGGCCCAGGCATGGTATCCGGTGCTGCCGTCGGTGCTTGGGATGGTGAACGGGACTGCTTTGAAGCTGAGCTGAGGGGAAGCCGGGTCTGTCGCCGCGGCACAGACCCTCAGAAGCTCCCTATTTCGTTGCTACGAGGTGGGAGCAGTGGGGGCCCGACCTACCCCTTCGTAACCCAGTCCATTCTGATATGGGGCACGGGGTGTCCTCCTTCCAGACGCTCCTCCCTCTCCTTCCCCCATCCCCATGCCTGTGGGTCTGCCGCAGTGAGGGGCACTCAGCCTGGGGGGCTTCCCGCCCCTCTGCAAGGACCAGAGCCCCTGCCCGAGCTGCGGGCTCTGCGGTGGGAGGGAGGGCACTGCGCGGGGGCTCTGAATGGTCCGGTCCGGTGTAACGCCGTCGTTCTTAAAACCAGCACTTGTATCCCCTTCCTCAGTCTCAAGGCGTACATGCCCCCGACAGGGACAGGATGGTGGCCTGGTTTCACAGAACTGTCAGGCCTGTGAGCTTAGTGCACTCCTAGTGGGCCCCGTGAGTGCTTGTTGGGTCTGTGGGGACTGAGCCCTTGCAGAACGTTTCCAGCGAGGATTTTGGGGTAAGACCATGATTTAATCTTTGCTTCTCATTTCCTTTCTTTCTTTTTTTTTTTTTTTTTTTAAAGACTTTATTATTCATTTGACAGAGAGAGAGATCACAAGTAGGCAGAGAGGCAGGCAGAGAGAGAGAGGGGGAAGCAGACTCCCCACCAAGCGGAGAGCCGGATGTGGGGCTCGATCCCAGGACCTTGGGATCATGACCTGAGCTGAAGGCAGAGGATTTAACCCACTGAGCCACCCAGGCGCCCCTCATTTCCTTTCTTTATCTCTTTTCTCTAAATCATTTTTTCTGATATTTGAGACACTGTCCAGTTTTGTGGGAATTTTGTGGGGTCAGTGACATGATGGTCCTTGCTCCAGACCCAAAGACCTCAGGAGCTCTTGGTGGAGTGATGGGCCTGGGGGAGCATAAAGGTCACTGTGTCCCCCTTAAGGGTCGACTGTGGGGTCAGGAAGACAGTGACATGTGGGACAGTAGGTGCTAAGCTGCATGTCTGAGCACTGTTTGACAGGGTCGCTGTGGACCCGACAGCCTAGCTCTCAGCCCTGGCCGCCCACCCCTGATCACGTGCTGATGGCCACTGCAGGGCCCGTGCAGTGGGGCTCGAGGGAAGGAGCCTCGTGGGCGCGAGGCTTGAGCGCAGTGGCACTAGGATTTGCTGGGGAGCATGGGAGACAGACACCGACCTCTGTCCGGAGCCGGTGGGGGGGCTTGGGCACTTGGGACAGGAGCCTCATGCCTGGGTCGCCCCGCGGGACCCCAGCTTCCCGTGCCCTCCTGCAGTCAGTGACATGCTTACCTCCTGGGCTCTGAGCGTGTCCAGATCCAAGAGACATGGGAGACGCGGCTCCTTCCCCTGAGTTTGTGGAGGGCATGGAAGCCTTCGGCGTGCACGTGTTTTCTGTCTCTCCATATTCAGAGCATTCTCAGACTGTCGTCAAGCATAACATCTTAGAGACTTTGGGATTCTAACCACACAGCAAACCCAGAACGTGACGCGGCCCTGGAAGCCGGTGCACGTGCCTGTCTGGGCCTGGGGAGCGCCGTGGGTTTAGCGCAGAGAGGCCTGGGCGCGGGCAGGACGGCCCAGGCCTGGAGCTTCTTCCCCAGACGGTGGCTTGTGCGGCCCTGTGGTGGCCTTCCACCTCGTATGACGGAAGCAAGGCCGGAGGTCTGCGCCCAGATCAGCCTCCTCCTGCTCCATGGGGGTGGTCCTGGGTAGCTGTGGCTGCAGGTGCTTGTGGAGGCGACAGGGAGAAGGCCACCTCTTCTCTGACGGGCGCTAGAGTGGCTTGCAGGGAGAGCCTCGGATCCGAGTGCCCCTAGGTGTGGTAAGTAAGCGGGGATGGGCGCGGCTCCCCCCATGCACCCCGGTCCCGGTGCCCCTGCCATGTTCGGGCCGGCTGCCCACGAAGCCAGGCACATATGGGGAGGTCCGGACCATATTCTGAACTCGTGCTGACGTGTTCTTCAGGGTCCCACGGTTGATCACAAGGTGTGACTGTGGGGCTGGGAGGGCGGCCCATTGTCCTTCTGGGGTCCCAGCCTCCTTCCCAGGTGGAGAGCAGGCTGAGCAGGGGCCTTGTAACATTCAGGGCGCAGAGCTGGTCATGGTGTCTGGGCCCCCGCGTCGGCCAGTGCTCTGGTGCCACAGGCCGCTCCCTGTGTGGCTGGCAGCAGGGCGCCCGCAGCCGCTGAGGTCCTGGCTCCCCGCCCTCTTCCACCCCCACTGCAAATGCAGGCTTTGAAGTCATGTCCCTGTCCAGCAGAGACTCCTCTGCCGCCCACTTCCTAGGGCCTTTGCCGTGTGTCTGGGAGCCATACTTCAGTTGTACTTGCCCCGAACGACACGATGCTTCGTAGCAGACACAGACCCCTGAAGCGGTCGGCTCCCCCTGAGTGCTCCCCCAGCCTCGATCCTGGCTCTGTTCTAGGGCCCCCACTGACTGCCTTCCTGCTGCAGACCCAGGTGGTCTTGGGCTGAGGGGCCCACGCCAGAGTGACGTGACTGCCAGGTCCGGACGTCCCTGTCCTCTTAGTCCTCTGACTCAGTCACCAGCTCCGGTTTGAGTCTGAGAAGCCTGCAGTGGGTCAGAGACCCTTCCTGGAGACGCCTGCCCGGGCCCTGCGCGGGCCTCCGAGCACTCCCTCCCTCCGGGAGGGTCCGCCTGCGCCAGCGGCCCCAGAGCTGACCATCAAGGCCGGCAGGTGGGGCGTGTGGGCAGATGCGGGCGACAAGTGGGTGGGGGCTCGTAGCCAGGCCTCGCTGCGGGGCCGGGGGTCCGAAGGCCAGAACGCGTGGAGCGCCCGTGTTGCGTCCAGAGCTGGGGGTTTTCAGACTCAGTCTGGAAAATTCGTCGTGCCAGCTGTGCGTGGCGGGCTGCCGCGCGACTTCTGTTTCTCTAGTTCTTTCTCTTCCTGGTGTGGGTTCGCCGCCTCCGGCGTGGCCATGACTGTAGTGGCCAGTGCTCCCGTGTGAGGGCAAAGGTCACACCAGGGCTCAGGGCCGGAGCTGGAGGCTCCGAAGCTGATCCGGGAGAAGGGCTTCCGCGGGCCCCGGAGGAGCGGAGGCGGGCGCGCTCTCTGCCCAGCGCCGAGCCGGGCTCCGCTGTGAGCGAGCGGTGTGCCCGCACCTGTCACGGGAAGCGTGCAGACGGCCCGACGCACTACGTCTTGGGAAGGGGAGCCAGTGCTGCTCTGACGGGCCGTGCGTGCAGAGACCTGTGCGCCTGGAGGTCACGCCAGGAAGACGGTGGCCTTTCCGTGGGGTTCTGGTTCTACGCGTGGGCTGTCTGGCCATCCAGTGATGCTTGCTCCCCGGATGGTAGATGCCCCCACCTCCCTGTATGGGGCAGAGCAACTGCAAGGCTCAGGGAGCGGCCTCCCCCCGCTTGTTCCCGGGGATGGGGGCGAGTGACGGCGTCATCCGCAGACTCAAAGGGCAGTTTCCTCTAAGCTGTGCCCCTGGCCATCGAGAGCCTTCAGAGAATGAAATCCAAGATCTTTCAGTGGTCATTATAGCTTGTTTTCTGATTTTACTTCTTGTGTCTAACGTGTGAAACCACTTTCTGTTTCTACAACAAGTAGACACATCTTTCCAAGCAGTGAGGACGGTCCCACCTCGGGTGTGTCTCTGGGGTGACACGATCTGTGCGGTCGAGGCCTCGGCTCTGTGCGGGCGGGGAAACAGGCCGTGAGGTCCCACCTCCCGGCCAGCGGACCTCTCCTCGCCTTAGAGGGAAGGTTCTAGAATCCAGGCTGCCCGGCAACGGGATGGGAGGCTGCATCTGGAGCCTTTTTCTGGCAGGGTGCTAACCACTGGGTTGATTTTGGTGAATTTGTCGTGGAAAGTCTGGCCCCCGATGGCTTTCAGTAGGCCGTGCGCTCTCCTGACAACGTGTGAAGTTGCTGGTGTGCCCTGGGCCTGTCCATTCCCCACTCCCCCCAGAGATTAAGGTCAGGCCCAGATAGCATAGGTGGTGGACTCAGCGTCTTCCTTCTGCAGAAGCGTGGGGGCCCCAGGACAGGTGCAGAGAGGAGCCGTGAGCTGATGCCCGCCCCGTCCTGTGCTTGCAGGTGTGGCCGACGAGAACGCGCTCCTGGAGGAGTGCCGGCGCAGAGGCCAGAGCGCGCTGCCCTCCCAGCCCGCCAGCACCAGCGGCCCGTCGCTGAGGTCTCACAGGCCGGCCTCCCTGCCCAAACCCGAGTCTCAGCACATGCGTGAAGAGGAGGACGAGCCAAGCAGACAGCAGGCTACCAGCAGCCCCTGGGACCCCTCCGTGCTCTCTGCAGGTGTGCAAAGGGAAACCAAAGCGGAGCTTCCCTGCGGGGACGCTGCCCCTCCCTCCCGAGACCAGAGAGGACCGAAATCGCTCCTGTGCTGTTGTGTCCTGACCTGAGCGCGGTGGGGCTGGGCGGGGGGCGCGCCAGCGGCTGCTCAGAGCGCAGCGGTGGGAGGAGGCCTCTTGCTCTCAGCTCCCCTCCTGTGAGATTCCCCCAATTAAAACGGGGTGCCCGTCTTCCACAATGCTATGGAGTGTGTTGTCTTGGGCAGAGGATGACAGGTGCTGCTTTTACCTTAAATGTCCCTTTTTGTCACTTTGCACTTAGTGCTTGAGCTCGAGCCGCTCACGCAACCTGCGGCACCCCACGGCCTTGGTGCTGGGATGTCTTGCATTTGCTTCCTCACCCTGTTCCTCCCCCTGCGCTTGGTTACAGAGAGCAGAGTACCCGGCTGGCCCTCCTGTCACCCTGCCTCCCCGGGGGAGCATCTCGGGCCCGCCCTGGACGCACTGGGCGTTCACGACCTGTGTCCCCAGAGCCCGGCTCTGCCTTCCTCCAGCTTCTCGGCTTGTAATCTCTCGCAGAGCCCCAGTGAGGCTTTGAAGCGAGCTCCCGTAGAAGGTCCCGGGTTATTTCCGAGGAGACAGCTGTTCGGTGGCTTTGACCTGTGTTCTGAAGTCCCGGGTCAGGGGGTTTGAGTTCTTCGTCAGTGTGATGCATCTGTGCCCATCTTAGTTGTCACCACGGGGAGCAGCACGGTGACCGTTGTGTGCTGTGTGGTAGGGGAAGACACGCGTCCTCGGTCCCCTGTGTTAGGGTGACGTGACGGTGCGTGCGAGGCTCAGTGTGGGCCTCCGCAGAACACACCGTCGCGGCTGTCCCCTTCCTGCCCCAGAACTTTCTGTCGGACAGGTGGCCCCTCGCAGCCCCTCCTGGTCCTCCTCAGGGTTTTGTGGAGGACGGAAGGAAGGTGCCCCTGCCTGACCATGGGTGTCCTGGGGCTTCGGACCGCAGCGGCGTGTACGCGGGGCTGGGGCCACGTGGCTCCCAGTCCGCCCAGGACGGCACTAGCACAAGCCGGTTGTCCCTCGGGAGACGTTAGCCTTTTCCTGCGCCATTGAGTGACAGATGGAGGGAGTCGGGAGGGCCGCGTGAATTCAGAAAGAGCTCATTCTGCCGCGAATGGGCGTGTGGACATTTTCCTGGATCGATTGTCCGCTCCTGGTACCGCGCAGCCTTTGGGCGGGGCAGGCTTGCCGATCCTGCCTGAACGAGTCGCTGCTAGGACGGGGTTTAGGGAGTCCTGTCTGTCTGGTTGGAAGGACGCCATAAGCCGGGCCCCGTCCCCAAGAATAAGGAGTGCGGAGATGGGCCCCCTGGCGGTCTAACTCGCCACCCAGCCAGGCTCCCGCGGCAGGACGGGGGCTGTGCTGCCACCGCAGAGCCGGCCCAAGCGGCATCCCCTGAGTTGAGAGCGAGGCCCTTGCAGCCCGGCGAGACTGCTTGTTTGCCCTAGCACGAGTGCGGAAGGAACGAGCCTGCTGGAGAGTCCTGGGCTCACGGGTTTTTGATTCTTCTCCCTGAAATCTCATGGTTTTGTCGGTTGGTACCATCAGGCCCCCTCTAAGCACTGATTTGACCCTGGCACAAGTCTCAGACCCGAGAGGCCAGGGACGGACTCCCATCGTGTCCAGTCCCTTCTCCTTGGCTGTGGAGAGACCTGGGGGCTTGCCTTGTACTCCCAGACTGCAACCCCTCCCTGGTGGGGTGGCGGCAGCCAGAGCACCTTCCGGGGGTGGGGGGGTGGCTTCTGATGCTGTTGAATCATCGTGAGTAATGGGGTCTTGAAAAGATTGTTGGGTTAAGTCACAAGAAATTACAGCCTCGAGCCCCATACGGATTGTACGGTGAGCTCATGCCAGACGCTTAGTTTTGTCTTCTAAGCTGTCCCAAAAGAAGGGTCCACACACTAAGTGAGAAAAGGATGTGGCACAAATTGCAGTTGGGCACAGAGCCGGCGAAGGCCGTGCAGAGTAGTCCGACTGTCCCCTCTGCGGGGCTCCTCACTGCCAGCAGAAGGCTTTGCTTCCCTGCGCAGACCTGCAGCTCGGGTCCAGCGTTGCAGATGCGGGTGTCGGCCAGCAGTGAAGGGGCGCTGGGGCCCCTCCTGGGGGCAGATGCCCCGGAGCTCCGCATGAGCCCTGGGCTCAGGACACCTGGACGCCAGCCCCAGGCGGTACAGCCTGTGTGCTCTGGTGTGGCCTAGCGTGTCCCGGGGCGGGTTTGTGCCACGTTCCCAAGCCTTGGGTGATTTCTTCTTCAGAGTGAGCGCACAGTCAGGAACGTGTTCCCGGGGCGCCTCGGTGCAGGAACGGCTCCCGGAGAGAGGGGCCCCTGGGAGCCTGCCGGTGGCCGTGCAGCGTGGGGGGCCTGGCAGCTCTGGGAGGGGATTCTGCTGGGCTGAAGGCGCACTCTCGCCTGCCTGTGCTCGGGACACTGAATTTGTTGCTCCTGGGAGGGGCTCCCACGTGGCAGCAGGCCGAGGGCTGCAGCGCAGGGAGCAGCGATGTCTGCGCGGGGCAGGCCGGGGAGGCGACCACGGTGCAGCGGGGTGGTGCCCGGGGGCGCGGTCTCGCCGGGCAGTCGTGGCCATCCGTGTGCCGTTGCTCTGCACCCCCAGCCTCCCGTCCAGCCCGCCAGCTTCCCTCCGGGGACAGAGGCTTGTTAGCGTTGCACGCTGCGTGTCCCCTGGACACGGTCCGAGACCTGTGTGGAGGAAGGATTTGTGCTTTGCGTGTGTGGATCCTGCTCAGACATGCGCAGGGACACAGACTCGTTCAGAAGGAAAATTCAAGTCACTCAACATGAAGAAAATTCACGAACAAACGTCTACTGACTCGTGAACTTTGTTTTGTTTTCCTACGTGGGGGTTCGAAGGAAGCGCAGGAGCCGGGCCACTGGGGGCCTGGGCCTTGCAGAGCTCGTGCCTGGGGCTCGGCTGCCCGGCCTCCCTTCCCGGAGGCTGTGGCGGCTGGGTTTTGAGGTCTGGGGTCGGCATCTGCGGTGACACGGGTGCATCAGACACGCGGCGGTCTCCGGCATGGTTCCCCGTGTGGGACCCTGGGTGCCGGGTGGCACCCGTGCGGGACATCCGAGTGGCCATTTTGTGGATGGACCAGCTGCGCCGGGTGGCGGGAGGGCCCCCTTCTCTCGTACGCCTTGTCCCCAAACACAGATGTCGAAGGAACTATCCCAGTGACTCTGCTTTACCGCGGAGCTCGGCGGTGCCTGCCTCACCTGTCCGACCTTGGCGTCGACCTCTAAGTCCCAGGCTCCGCACCGCGGTCCCATTGTCCTGCGGTTTCAGATCCTTAACATCCGAAGGGTGTGTCTGTCCCCGTGATCACACTGCCGCTTCGTCCTGGGGACGGGGCTGGGGAAGGCTGTGTTGTGGCTGCCCTGCAGGGTCCAGAGCAGACGTTTTGGGGTTGGCTCGGACGCCGCTTGAGGTTGTGCCACACGTGTGGCTTGGAGTGGGGTCGGGGGGGTGTGGGGACTGGGGAGTGGGACCGTAGCCAGTCCCTGTGGAGCCTCTGCCTCGGGCCCTCTCCGAGCCCCAGGCCCTTGGCTCCCAGCACCCTTGCACCTGCTGCAGACAGAGGAGGCTCCGGGTGCGCTGGACTGCTGTTCTCGGTTAGCTCTGCGCACTTGCGTCTAGTGACTGGGGAGCCCCGGGCCCCTTGAGGCTCTGCTGGCCACTGTCTTTGAAGGAACGACCTGGGCGGGGGTGGTGGGGTGGTTGCGGCCGGTGCCTGAGCAGGGTCTTGTGCCCATGAGGCCTTGGGCCCATCTGTAGCCTCGGGCTGGCCAGTGTCCCTCGTGGGTCCCAGACGCATGGGACGGGCACCTCCTGGGTGGGACAGGTCCGTGGGGTCACAGGCCCAGAATGTTGTCATCTGTGCTGAAATTCCTTTAGTTGGTTCCATGTTATTCTTCTGATATCGTTCTAAAATTAAAAATGCCTTGTGAGTGGCATGTTAATAGGGACTTGGAGCGAGGTGTCGCTGTTCCACACGGGCCTGTGCAGTGATAGCCGGTGCTCTCTGGGGGCTGGGGCTGGAGCATGGCAGCACCGAGCCCAGTTCTGCCCGGCGTGTGCCCCGGGGCTTCAGGGTCCCTTCTGGGTCAGGTGTTAGGACTTCATGACTGGCGCGGGGGTCGGGGGCCCCAGCTGCCGGCTCCACGGCCACACCATGTTCCTCCGGGCCTCCTCCCTCAGCCTGGGTTGTGGAAGCGACAGCTCGGTAGGGCACGCCCAGGCGGCACGGAGCGCGTGGATGGGGATGGACTCCCTCACCTCCCTCTGATGGGCGTCCCGAGCTCCCGGCCTGCGGGGACAGCACAGAGAGCGTTTCTTTTTCTTCTTGGGTTATTGTACATGTGGTCGAGTCTGCTGGGGGAGAAGAGGCCGTCCTCCCCTCTGTGAAGTGATGCCCACAGTGAGTCCGAAGCTAGGGTCTCCGTCCCCTGGTTGGTCGAGCCTTCGGTCACTCGTGCGGCCTCCGAACCCCACTCCCTGTGTGTTCCTTCAGGGCCCCTGGCCGTTGCCTGCAAGCCCCCAGGGGAACGATTCCGTTCGGCGGTTTCTCCACAGGAGACCCACCTGGGACTGGACGGGCCACCCTGGTGTCACCCTGTTGTACCTCCTTCGTGTAATCACGTCCGCGAACAGACCCACAGACCTGTCCCCGGACTGGCTCTGCTTCCCTGTGTGACGCCTCACAGTGGCTCTCCCTCCCCTCGCCCCGATCGTGGCTGTTCAGTCTGCTCCCCGGCCTCACCTCTCCCGTGCCCTGCCGCGTGGCTTTGCCCTTTGTCTTCTCCCTCCTGTTGAAAACCCCGAGGCAGCTTTCCTACACGCTCGGCCCCAGGTGACGTAGCGACCTGCGGGTGTTAAAGCCCCAGGTGCGGCGTGCAGGTGCCCGGGCTGCGGGGGGAGGTGGTGAAGGGCCGGGGGCGCAGGATCCGGCGTCACTCGCATGAGGGCTGTGTGGCTCTGAGGCACGTGTGAGCTCCCTCCGTGCTGTCACGGGGCGAGCAGACCGCCCTCACGGGCATCCCCCTGGCCTCATGAGGCAGGTGTCGGGGGGTGGGGGGCTCTTTGTGCATTGGCTGTCAGCCCCCGACTAACTGACAGAGGACCCGCATGCCAGGGGTTGCGGTTCTGCAGAAGGACGAGTGTTGTGCCCCGTGGTGTCTGCTGACAGGCCGCATCGGAGTCCCAGACGGGAGAGGGGCCTCACAATGTGGCCGTGTCCTTGAACATCCCGAGAGTGCCTTCAGGGGGTCTTCTGGCAGGTTCAGGGGCCCGAGGGCGTTGAGGCCCAGGCCCACGGTGCCGGCCCGTAGAAATCCAGCGTCGTTCCCCGAAACCAGCATCAGCCCGTGGGCTGGCTCGTCTGTGCCGTCCTGCCACCGCGTCGTTCGGACCCATCGCTCGAGGTCTTGAGTCACTTCTGCAGAACTGGAGCCGGGGCTCTCCAGGGGGCTGAGGAGGTGAGCGCTCCCTGTCGCTCCTCCGCCTCCGCGCGCGTGGAGCCCACGGCCCAAGGGAGATGGAAGGTTCTCGTCCTCAGAGGAAGCGAGGGAATGGATGGCCCAGAGCCGGGGAAAGGAGCCCAGCCCACAGCCAGGCTGCCCCTGCGGATGGGACTCTGGCCTGGCCGGGGCTACAGGGAGCCCGTCCCCCGGGGGCGGTGTCCGCCCTTCTTGGTTGGGGCACAGGGTCTTGCGTGGGTGCGGGGTGGGGTTGTCGGAGGGTGGCAGAGGGGAGCATGGGCTGCACGCCGCCCCCTGCGTGGCCGGGACGCCCTCGGAACTGTGTCATAGGCCTCGCTGTGGGGTGGAACGAGGCCGCCAGGGCTTCTGCTGACGTCCAGGTGTGGCGTGGACAGAAGCAAGAGACTGTCTTTACTGTGTGGGTTTTTCCTAAACGCGGGGGAGCATTTGGAAACATGTCGGCCTCTTAGTGGGGAGGCAGCCGTTGTTCTGCACAGTGTTTCACGAGCCTCGTTTCCTTAGGGTCCAAAGAAGGTGGCAAGAGGAAGAAGCAGAAGCAGAGAGAGGAGTCCAAGAAGAAGAGGTCGACCAAAGGCCACCACTAGACGGACTCGCGGCCATGCTCGCTGCCCGAGCTGGCGGCTCAGCCGGCTCTGTGTGGGCGCGGCCCGCGCTAGCACCACCTGCTTTGCCTCCATCCCAAGACCTCACCTCCCCGGCACGGGGACGCGGAGGAGCCGGCGGTGACGGTCGTGGGTGGCGGTGGCACAAGTATGGAGCCTGCCTGGACTGCCCTCGCTTCTCCCGGCACTAAATCCGATCGCGTCTTCCCGGAGTGGCTCGGGACCCCGCTCCTTCTTTTCAGCCTTTCAGCCACCAGCTGCCGGGCTACTTAGAGCTCTCGAGGTGTGACAGGTGCAGGCAGAGACCGGAGTGTGTGTCCATGGAATGACTTCCTTCCTTCCTGGCCGCAGATTTCTGGGCGCTAGCGCGAGGGAAGGGCAGGGTGGCCGAGCGGCCTGGTGCATCGGGTGACCACCACCACGGTGCTTGTCCTTCAGACGGGGGTGGTGCTGGGGTGCTAACCTTCCAGCAGCTCAGCAGCTGGCCTGGCCTGGCCCGTGGGGGCCCTGGGGTGACTCACTTTAGATACAAAGTCATTCCTTACGTTTACCGTAGTTTTAGTCTCTAGCCTGAACTTCAGAGACGGTTTAATTTTGGCTAAAGCTCTTCTTTTTTTTCTTGGACCCTTAATTCTTAGCGTATGCACAGGATCCTACAAAATTTTGTTGG